TAAAATTCAGTCATCACGTTTGTCAACCGGTGAATGTCAGCAGCAGATGAATTTTGGCCCTATTAACCTGCATCATCACGGTTTTAATCAAAATATTTACAGCTTTAGAGCTGTTTTAAGGGTAGCATGCAAAATGTGTTCCTGATTATATATTGCCTTCAAGCCTTTCTATGTTTAAGATAAACCCATGGTAACGGCCAGCTACATCGGAGGATGGCCGTGGTGGTGGTTGCTGCTCTTCCTTTTGCTGCTGCTGCTGCTGATTCTGTTACTGTGCTGCTTGTTCTGGTGCTGCGCGAAGTAAGTGGTTTACAATCTCTATCGGCCTACGCTCACTGGTTGGCCGTGTTCTGAAGTGTGATGTCTTATTTTGTCTTTCCAGTCGCTATCGGAAAAAGAAACGCCTTGTCGAAATGGTAGACGCCGGCGGAAAAGAACCCCTGCTTGGCACTGAAGAAGTAAACGTTTGTTCGTCGCAGCAACGTGACTTTCTGATCGTTTTTTCTTCTTCAGAAGAGCAAATCAGAGATGGCTAAAAATTTGCGAGCCTTAGAAAGCCGAATCGACAACATACGTTCGCAGCTGGAAACCAAGATTCAGTCTCCTAGAGGTATGTAATCTCTGATTCTCTTGTTACGTTTGGCAAATAGCATTTGTTAAATTTTTTTTATTTCTAAAGTGGAAGATGAGACGCATAATACGAGCGGATAACAGAAAACGCTATTTTTAATTGTTATCAATTGATATCAGAATTTCATCTTCGTTTTGCGCGCAAACGTTTACTACCTCAACAGTTTCGATGCCCTTAATATCTTCTTCAAGGAAGGCAGGAAAAGAAAATTTTTTAATCGCATGAATGTCGGTATTCCTTTCACCTTCACGATGAGGCCATTTTTGGTGTCCTTCTTTTCATGAAGTTAATAATACGATACTGATCTCCTTTTCAGCATTTCAGTTCGCAACACCTTATTTCAATGACATAATCTATAGCGTTCATGTGGCAAACCCCGTGTGTTGTTATCTGTTTGCTTCCCCACAGTTGTGCTCATTCTCCAAGCGAAGGATCGAACCGATGCTCGAATTCGGGGCCTGTCGGTTCTGTGTCAGACACTGTACCAACTGTGTCTAGTCTTTTTCAAGGTTAAAAACACCAATAATGAAATATGAGGGTTTCCTTACAGTAGTACAATGTGTCAAGCTTTAAGGTATGTTCGAGATTTGTCAGTACAGACTCCTCAGCATTTCTTTTCACTCTTCTTTAAGCCGTTTATCATTGTGTCCTAATAGTCCCAGTTAATGTTTTCTAATCCAAACAGTGTCCTACATTTAAAGACAAATCTTCATGTTAACCTGCAGCAATTCCCCTTCAGTTTCTAGTCACATTCTCCTCCTCCTGAAAAAATTAACTACTCAGCGTGTTAGGTGGAATTCTGCCATACCATCATGATCACGAATTTCTTTTTTTACTCTTTTGCCAAGATCCTTCGTTAATGAAAATTGGTTGCTGCCTTGTGCTTGCTCTTACAAGCAAATGGAAAGTCACTGCACAATGATATTTAAATGCGCGTCGCAATCTGTACAGGTGGAACATGAGGATTGGTCATATCCTAAGCCGTTACATGTCCTATTGTAAAACGGGCTTTGTCATCTTACCCTCGCTAAGCTTCTACTACAACACTCTAGATGAGTATCATCAGTCCTCGATACAAAGAAGATTGGCAACAGAATGAAAGAACAACTTCTATTTTCCATGGATAACCGGAACATATTTCCTTAGCTAGAAACTGTCATTCTTCGGTACTTCACATTTTGTGCGATATACCGGTTTCCTCAGGACCATACAGGAAACCTTTTCGTCTCAACAGCACACTGATAACGATGTCTTCTATCAATGAATCTGAATTAGATTAGTTTATTATGAAACAAAATGCAGAAATCATTTGACCAGGGACGTATGCCAATAGCAAATATAATGCTCCATTTACAGGGATAGCTATACTATATACAAGTTTCAGCACGCCGTTATGCCGTATTTCTCAGGCGCTTATTTTTTTCTGTTTTCCGATAAAATTCAAAGCATCTTTAATCCATGTATTCATCATCGTGTGAAAGAACTACCATTTGAGGGTTAGCCCTAGAGAAAACACCTTACAATACTTTCTTCAAGGATTTGCAATCTTGGTTATTCCCGAACTCCCATGCGATTTGTAATGCTCGTTTTTCGCTTCTCCTTAGCAGAGCTCTCTTATAAATCCATAATGAAAATGAACACCCTCGGTTTCAGAGTTTCGTTAGCCACTCATTTCAGTGTTCATCACAGCCTTCACGACTACCTTGGTGCCTTAGGTGTATTTCGCCTTGTCATATGATATATGATGCACATTGGTCATTGTGGTTAACTCAGAGCGGAATAGTGAAGATAGATTGTGGAGGACAAGACAAACACGATGGCTAGTTTGAAAGATCGAGTATTGTTTGAGTTCGTTCTCAGCTGTAATGAAGGAGCAGCACATAATGGTTTATTCATCCACAACACCATACGAAGGTCTTTCATGCAATAGATTGATATAGAGGTTTTGGCCTATATTTACGTGCCTTCTTCGAGGCAGATCTAATGATAAGGTTCGTATGTTTCTGAGGCTTTCTTCAGTCGCCGGTTCCTTATCACTCTAAAGGATCTGACCATCAAATTTACCTTGAAGGTGGCATGTAAGACACCGACCGAAACGTCGTAGCGGTCTGAAAACCACAAAATTGTGTTATATATAAGTTAATCGTTTCTGTGCTGTTGCCCCAGTACAAGTGCCAACGTAAGATAAAATGCTCTATCTTAAAAATAAGTTACGGTCATTGCATTACACTTGACAATTCATCTTTAAAATCCCTTCACGGGATACGGGCAGTGACCAAAGTCCTGCATCGCATAACACAGTGAATTACTGTGAATTAAGTACGTACGCTTAAGCGGCCAAGTTATCCGTAAAGGTTGTGATAGTCCTTTAAATGTTGTGACAGTTAATCGAAACACTCGTAATGACGGCTGCCAATTCTGAATGTCACGGCAAAAGCTGCTGTAAATTGCAGAACGTATGTTAAGACAATGTTATCGTCCGCACATGTCATGCTGATGTTTCGACAAGTAATGGCCATGGGCACGAGAGTTCATTTCACTTCCACCATTGATGTCCCAGTAATTGCGGTTTTGTATTCATGAGAAATCTTCCGTTTAGTGAGGCTGAAACATAAATGAATATTTTCTATCATTTCTTCCGACAATGATTGGTAAAAGGTTGCATACTCCAATTCGTGAAGGTTCTTCAGGTGAAAATAAGAAACAGGGTTAATTT